AGGAAGTAATTATCTTTGTAATTACCTTTTTCGGATGAGAAAGTGGGCAGCAACAATGGAATCAGTCTGGGTTCATCACACAGAACTCTCTTGCTTTTTGGTAGGAGAAAGCGTTTGACCCTGTTGATAATTGCTAACTTGGCTTCATGGGTTTGATTCACACTCCACATTCAGCCATGGAAGCAGCTGCATTTTCTCCTTGGCAGTCTTCTCTTCTGCCCCTCCTCCATGCCCACCTCACTCGGTGGCTGAGGTTCCCATCTGGAAAGCCTGTTGCCACAGGATACAGACTCCTCTGGGAAAGATGGAAAGCTGTGTGTATGGTTAGGCTTGGCTGGTGGCTCATATAATCAGGGAAACCAAGTGGAAAGCTTGCTCATTCGTGTGCAAGAGCCTGTGTTGTAGCTAGGTGATAGGGCCGCTATGGGACTGTGGGCCCTGACATTGTGCATGAAGCCTGCAGCACTTGGAGTTGTAATCCTCAGTCCTGGTGAGTGTGGCCACTTCTGTTGTTCAGCAATGCGATGTGCGTTTGGCTCCCATGGAAGAGCAGCCATAGCCCAATTTTTTTTTTTATTGTTTTTGACTAAATGATTCAGTTGGTCACAAATAACTATAGAGTCACTTTCTGGTATTTTCCCTTTTACTCTCTTTTAAATGACTCCTCTTACCTTCTAAGAGATCTGAGGTGGCCAGGCCTCTGGATCCATGTCTGTTTGGCAAGCTGTGACTCCACTCTGTGCCTCCCAGGTGTTGTCCACCTTGAGTAAGCCATGAAGTGGGTAAATGTCCTGAGCAGTTCCAGATGCGGCCTGAGCGAACAGAAAGCTTCTCGGTTCCTGCTGTTGACTCAGCCATGATTTGGCCTCCTAGAAAGCTCTGGAAACCCCAGCTAGCACTGGGAACAGAGATCTTGTCTGCCACAGGTACCAGCTTAGAACCAGAGTGGACACTTGACAGCACCTCCCATCCCTCATGTGTTCAGAGCCGAGCTGCAGACGTTTCCTGCCTTCTTGAGCACAGCGTTGTTGCTGTTGTTTGGGCTTCATTTCTTCATCTTTTCTACGCTCACATGGTTTGCCAGTCACAGGCAGCCTGCTGCTTTGCTATAGTAAAGCGTCTGTTGAGATGTGGCCCCAGCTGATGGCCCCAGGTAGAAAAGGGCGTCCTGTAGTTCTGTAATTGCTAGTGTGCTGCAGAAGAGGGCAAAGGTCAGGCTGTTCGCAGGCCAATTGGAAATCAGTGTGTCGGTTTGTTTTCTTTGCCCTTCCTGACTGCCATTCTGGCCAGCAGTCCACAGGGTCATCTAGGTGAGGCCCGTTCCAGAGCCTAACCAGCCCAGCACTAGAATCCCCACCAAGCTGCTTGTGAAATTGGCTGAGGTATTTCTCTCAAACCATCCAAACATAGTTCTTTTTTAGCCTAGTGTGTTGACTCCTTCATGGTTTAGAAATTCTGCACTAATTTGTTTCTTCCTTCCTTCCCTCCCTCCCGTCCTTCCTTCCTTGTAACTGGAAGTTTCTTTCCCTTTTGTCTGTTCCTGAATAAACACTCTGAGGTTTATATTAATTATAAAAGTTTGACCAATGGATCGAACCCATTTATATAAGTTTATATAATTTATAAGTTAAATTAACCTGTTTCTACTATTCTATATTTTATCACGAGGCTCGTAGTTTGTTACCTCACATCTTGTTTATTCAGCGCCTTTTGGCATCTCCCTGACTCTGCCTTTCTCCTTGTATTGTTTGAATTTACCGCCTAGCTATATTATGCCCTGTCATAGACCAAAGCAGCTTCTTTATTAACCAATAGTAATAAAACCTATTCACAGCATACAGAAGGGCATTCCACATCACTTCTTTCTTTCCGTCCTTCCTTCCTTCCTTTTTTTTTCTATTTTTAGTTTTAACACTGATGGGGCTAGAAAGAGGTCCACCTGCTGCTTGTATGGGATAGACTGGGATTGCACTTTGGACAGTGTATTTCGTAATATGAGTGTTGCACTACTGTTCCTGAAGTGGTGTGATGTGGCAGTTAGCTAAAAGTGTCCTGGACTCTTGTGACACATGTGGACTGTTAGGCCTATAGACAGACTTTTCTCTCCCTCCCACCAGTTCCCATATAACCGACACAGAGACTTAATAGTAATTATAAATGTTTGGCTGATCGCTCGTGTTTATTACTAACTAGCTCTTACAATTTAAATTTAACCCATTTCTGTTAATCTATATCTGCCATGTGGCATTAACTCTCCTTCATCTTGCACCTCCTGTTTCCCCTCTGTGTCTGACTGGTGACTCCTTTGACTCCGCCCTTCTTCCCAGTGTCCTTAGTCTGATTCTCCGGCCCAGCCTATCCTGTCCAGCTATTGGCCAGTCAGCTTTTTTATTGAACCAATCACAGTGACATATATTTACCCAGTGTAAAGAAATATTCCACATTGGCCTTGTAGTTCAGGGGTCTGATTGACCTGACCTCCCCAGGAGCTGTAATACTTCCTTTAGGCTTCTAAAAGCAGCATGAAAAAGAACAGCTTCCCTTTTCTTCTAGGTGTTAGCCTTAGAATGTTATAAATGTTAATTTAAGCTGTAAAGTCCATAGCTAGGGTCCCACTTTCAGTCTTCAAAGTCTCAGAATCACTTGCTGATCATGAATAAGAAAAAAGGTGCTTGCTTGGATGTGGTCATGAATTTAGCCACCAATGTGGTTTAAAGTCTGTTAACAACAGCAAAAAAGCTATAACCTCTGGCCATCCAAGATGTTCTAAGGTGGGAGGTTAAAATGGAAATTAAATTTAAAGTGCTCTTGGGTGAAGAGGTGGTTGGCATTAAGATGAGAATAGATGAAAACATCAAAGCCACAAACTGTGCACCTAGCAGTCCCCTTTGGGCCATGCCCTCCTTGAGACGTATTAATGAGGCTATATTGCAAAGGAGTCACCATTCTTTTTATGTACAATGGGTGTTACCAGTATAATAGTGTATGTAACTATGTAGCCTTTAATAAATATCTTGATTGAAGCTCTACTTTTATTTTCTGAAAACCTTTATGAGTCAATAAGTAATAAGTGTCAGGCACCAAGGAATCATGTGGAATAAGTGGGTCCCAGTGTATCTCAGGAGTTTCTACCAAATAGGGAACATGTTCATCATCGAGACAATACACCTGCTATTTTACTTAGTGGTTTTGTTTGTTTTTGTTTTTAAAAATAAAAGTTGCCTAGGGTATGTTAGCTTAGTAGCAGAGGCTTCACCTAGCACGTATACTGTCTTGGGTCCAATCTTCAGTACCCCTAAAATTAAATAAAAATAAAAGTAGCTGTTAATTGGCTACATTTTAAATCTCAGGTTTTTGTTTTGTTTTGGAGTAGCAATGAGAGGTTCTTAAGTAGCTTAACTGTTGATTTAAAAATGTGTCGGAACATGTGGAATACTAAAATGTATGTTTCTTTCTCTATGCAAAGAGTTTGTGAGGTGGCTGTACATTACCTTTCTGTGGCCAGGTCATTGTCAACCTGAACTTAGTTTGACAATTTATGTTTCTCATTTTTTGAGCTAATTTTATAAACAAACTAAAATAAGAAACATTTTCATGTCAAATCTAGGATGGAAGATAGGTAGGTAGGTAGGTAGGTAGGTAGGTAGATAGATAGATAGATAGATAAAACAAACTGAATATGTAAATTTGGTGGTGCATGACTTGAACACTCAGAGGCAGAGGCAGGAGGATGATGAGCTCAGAGCTAGCCTGTGCTACATGGCAAGATCCTCCCTGTCTCTAAAAGGGTGTTGGAGAGAGCAGCCTGACTCCGAGTCTGTAAAAGATTTTCAGATTTTGTTTTAGCATGTCTCTCCCAGAACACTAGCAACCCAAATTAAACTCTATCCTGTCCCTCCTCTCCAAAGCTTTTCCTTTGTCACCCAGAGAAAGGGAACCAGCCCAAGGCACATGACTGGAACTAGCTGGTGGCACATGGAAGAATCACCTCTAAAATAGCATTAGTTTTACCTTTGTGGGCCCCAGAGACTAAACTGCTTTCTGAGTGATTAAAGAAAATGTGGGGGTTTCTGTTGTCTGAATAGGTTGTATGAAGTTCTGTCCTAGTGAAAACAGAGAAATATTTAGGCATGCCCAGATAATCCCACCTCCTCCACAGCCCTCTGGAGGTGAGAAGTGCCGTCCAGTCCAGGCTCTAGCCGTGTGTGAGGACTCAGGCCAGAGCATTGTCCGGAGCCATTCTTCCCAGCGACTCCATTTCAGGCCGCCTATGACAGAGGCCCATGAGGGGAATGAACGGAGGGACCACAGTGGAGCTGTGACGGAGGCAGCAGGGCTGTGGTTCCCGAGAGATCTGAATGTGAGCTCTTGGTCAGCTTTTCATTTGTGTGTCTGTTTTCTTGACTGAGTGGTATCCCAGTTATTCCTGAATATATAAGGTGTGCCAGTGTAACTCAAAGCTGATTTCCCTCAGAGCTCTATGCTCTTCTGGTTTTCTTTTCTTTGTCTGTTTGACTTCATTTTCAAAGTATCAACTTCAGCTTCACACATCCCTTCTGATGAGCTATGTATTTGCATAATGTTGTGATTAATATGTCCCTGAATAATTTCCATAAATCTCATTAAAGCAAGATGTTGAGGCACAGGGTATTAAGTAAATAATAAAGCTGGATGTGGTAACACATACCTTTAGTTGGAACACTTTGGAGGTAGAGGCTGATCTGTAACTTCTAGACCAGGCAGGACTACATAGAGACTCTATCTTAAAACAAACAAACAAATAAATAGGTTTATATTTTTCTTTTATTATTTTGCTTTTCGTTTCAGACTTCCAGTTAAGAGTTTCACTTCAAGTGTTTACCAGTTGTCAGCTCTCATGGCTTTCGAGCACATTGACTGCACCAAATGCTGTTTCCGTAGAAGGACCCACTGAGGGAAGATGTTTGGGTTTTAATATGAAGAGATAACACCAGTATTGTCTCTTCTTGTGTCTTATTTAGATTTCGACACAGTCCCAACTGTTGGTACCTGAGAGACTGGACCATCCACACCTGGATTAGACAGTGTCTGAAATACGGTGCACAGGACAAAGCCTTGTATACCATTGTTAATAAGGTGAGGGTTCCTGCATGCTTCCAGGTGTGTGTGATCTGCTGTTTGTACCCGTGATGGTACCAAAGAGAAGTACCAGAGGCCACTTTTCTTAAGTTGTCCTCTCAGGATCCTGCTGTCTTCAGACTGGAACTGGTTGTAAACTAACCAACAAGCTGAAAACCCAAAGCTCCTGTAGCTGCCGCTTTTCCTAACAGTGGCCAGGGAAGGACAGGCGAGAGCGGAATGTGGTCCAGTCAGAACTCTGCACTGGTGGTCACTTCGTTTCATCCTTAGGCCTGGGGTTTCTTGCCCGCTTCCCTTTCATAAATTTAGGTGAGTGGTGACCATTTCTGATAGAGTGTAATCTCCAGCTTGTTAGAACCATCTTACACGTTTTGTAGAAGATGGTATTCCCATGGCTGGCTCTTCCTTCCCACAAGCCCCAGAGTTCCCAGAATTAAGGTCCTTCTGATGTTACACTCCACCCAGCACTTCAGTCTTCATTGACTTCATGGCACGAGAGTATATACAAGCACCAGCTGTAGAGTGTTTCTATTGCCGGAGCCAACCTAAATGCCGATATGCGCCATTAAAGAGCACTGGCTACTCTTCCAGAGGACTCAGGTTCAATTCCCAGCATCCTCATGGCAGCTCATGTCTGTAACTCCAGTTCCAGGGTATTTGATACCCTCATATAGACATACATGCAGGCAGAGCACCAGTGCACAAAAAAATAAAAATAAGCGAATAGCTTTACATTGAAAACACACCATGAAGTTTTAAGCTGGGCAGTGGTAGCACAGGCCTTTAATCCCAGGACTCGGGAGGCAGAAGCAGGAGGATCTCTGTAAGTTCAAGGCCTGCTTGGTCTACAAATCGAGTTCCAGGGCAGTCAGTGCTATTACATAGAGAATAATTAACAACATTTTACACAGGATATATATTTATGAAAATTTATTATTTTCATATTGTCATTGGACCTTGAAAATTAGTTAAAATGGAATACTGATTTTATCTTTGACTCCTCTCTGCAAAGATGATTTTCACCTGTAACTTAGGCTCAAGTCAAATCGGCATATTCTCTACATATTATTTGTGTGAGATGATGAACTGATTCAATAAATGAAGACGGAAGTAAAACAGATATCCCTGTCACTGATAAGCTCACTTAGAGGATCCTAAGTGCTGCCCCAAGAGGAATTCGGAAGATGGCATCCAGCTGGAAGGAAGAAGTCGAGGGCAAGAGAGCCATTTAAGCTGTCTCCAAAAGTGCCTCGGGAGCAGCATGTGCTGCCCTTGGCCTGCAGTGACGGCAGGTCTCAAGGGGATAGCTGAGTCAGAGGAGAGCCGAAACTAGATCCTAGATACAGATGGTCAAGGTTCAGGCTTCAGTTTCGTGAAGGAAAGGACAGCCCCGGGGGAAGGAAAAGATGAAATCTTGTTCTCTTCATTCCAGAAATTATACTCAGAGATGAAGATCCCTGTGGAAACAGATCCAGAAAGGTCTAGAAAAGTAGAGCAAAGGATCTCTCTTCTGTTGCATCCAGGCCTTTAGAAGGAAAAGTCACTGGGTGAAGGGTCAGGAGACCCAGCTTGTAACCTCTTAGCTTCTGTCAGTTACCTGGAACACCAGGCAGATAATTTTTTCCTTGTGGTTTCTAGTTTTCTCAACTCCAACTTGAGTTATATGGATAGTTAGAGCAGTGGTTGACAGCCTGAGCTGCCCACTCTCACCCAAGGTTTTTAGATTTACAGGTGCTTCCTGTGCAGAGACAGCTGAGTTGATGCTTTGAGTTTGGATCCCTAGCACCCATGTAAAAAGTTGAGCAGGGCAGCCCTTGCCTATATGTGCACACACAAACACAACTGCATACGAAAATAATAAATGTCACAGATACTTGTATTTACCCCTTATATTCTAATTTACTTGGTCTTTCTGGGCCGCGGCATTTGGGTTCAAAACACCATGAGTGGAAAGCATAGAGATTCTCGTGCCTCTCCTAGCACACACACAACCTTCCCTCGCCAGCATCCTGCTCCGGGGACATCTGCTGGGGCTGATGCACTTAGAACACAGCATTAATGCCCAGAGCCCACAATTTACAGGTTCCTTCTTGCTGTTCTGCGTCCTATGGGAGTGGATGAAAGACATGAGTCTGGATCATTGTGGCTGCCTTTTCATCTTCCTTGGGGACTTTTTCTTTAGGTTTCTCTTGACCCATGGTCAATGTTGAGAATCCTGGACTGGATGATTTCTTTTTCTTTGTTCTACAAGCTTTATCCTGTAGCCAGATTGCCCCAGAACCCACCTCAGTTCTGCCTCAGCCTTCTGAGGGATTATAGGTGTTTGGCACCACACTTGGCTTGAATCAGTTAATTTCAAAGGTCCTTTCTACCTCCGGTGACTTAGATTCTAAAATGTTTTGACTTTAACCTGCCATGGATTCACACTGCTGTGGGTAAGTTCTCTGAGAATCCCAGGCCCGCCCCTGAGCCACAGCCTTCCCGACAGTATCCGCTTGCACACACCTGAGGCTTCCTGTGCTGCTGCCGTGAGTGTTCGGGTGGTTCACAGCTGAGGCTTGGGAACCTCCCAAGGTAGTAGGTAGCGCAGGAGAGGTTCCCCACGTGTCTGGTAGTTGGCACTATGGAACAGGGAGGGTAATCCTATTGAAATAAGAATTGGGGGTGAAATTGTAGTCATGATCTAAGCAGTAGGGAGTCCAGGCTCACGAGTATATAAAAATCACAGAAGCATGCTAAAACTTATGGGCTCCGTCCCAGATCTGAGGCTGTGGGCCTGAGGCTTCAAGATCTGAGTCATTAATATGCTCCTACTACACCCTGAAGCAGAGACTGCATCATCTTTATTTATTCCTAAAATATTATTCCTAAATTCTGTCATCTTAAATATGCAGGTAAACAGAATCCAAGGAGCTCAGTTCACAACAAAGCGTTGGCATATTTCTTGTGTATTTAGAAGCTCCAGCCAGACCATATGCTGTATAATTTGTGCTGTTTTCCTTATGATCTGTTTCTGCATTTTCATTCATACCTTGTGAAAAGAATCCCTGGAGCAGCTATGTGTGCAGGGAGGGATGGATCCTGCTGCTGCTGCTGCTGGGTCTAGCTGTGGCGAGCTGCTAGAACTGAGCCCTGTCTCAGCCGTCAGTTGTCGCCTGTGGGACACCCACTCTCAACCTCACCCTGACCAGCAGTTCAGTTACAAACCTCGTGAGTTACAGCTTCAGTTTCACCATCACAGATGCTGCAGAACGATCGGCTCATCGTTTAACTGAGTGGGGCCAAGTTGTATCCTGAATAATAGATAAGCATGTGCTACAGACTGAACTAAAGAGGGTTTCTCTTTTTCTCTCTCTCTCTCTTCATTTTCCTTTTTCTTACAGGTTCAGTATGGAATTTTTCCAGATAACTTTACATTCAACTTACTGATGGATTATTTCATAAAGAAAGAAAATTACAAAGGTAAGAAACCGGATCACTATTCAGTTAATACAGGACATTCAGCTCTCAAATGAAAGTGTCCAAATGCAGACAGCTTCCTCCTTCTTTATATCTTAATTACGTCTCTTTACCTTAGTCCTTTAATCAGAAAAATTTACATGAAGATTATTATCATTTATGCAAAAATTCCAGGTATTGCCCTTTTATTGCTGGGATATAAAAAAATCAGAGTATATTAGTGATATAAAGGAAAAGTTAATTATACGGACCAATCTGATTTCACTTTCCAAACTGATTAAAATGCAGAATAAAAAGAATAAAGTAAAAATTGATTTTGTTTTCATGTGTAATTTTGGAATCTATAATGAACAGTTGGCAGAATTAGATTTACAAACGAAGGCCTGTGAAATGGCTCAGTGGGTAATGGCATCTGCTGCCAAGCCTGAGGACCTCAGTTAGATACCTGGAATCCACATGATAGAAGGGGAGAACCGACTCCAGCAGGCTGTCCTCTGACCTACACATGCACACACACGTACACACGCACATGCACACACACGTGCACACGCACATGAAATAAATAGTAAACAAAATTGTAAAGTAATAAAATTAATAAACAAATGTGTGATTTCTGGAGGAAAAAGTGGGGACTTAGACCTGGGATGTGGGCTCAGCATGTCAGAGCACCGTTGTTCCTGTGCAGCACACACCCACACGGCAGCCAACAACCTCCGCCACTCCGCCTCTAGAGGACTTGACGTCCTCGTCTTGCCTCCCCAGTCACTGCACATGGATTGCACCAGACAAACATGCAGCCATCACCCACATACATAAAGTAAAAACTAAATAACTCTTAACAGCAGCAAAATGGGCCTTCATCCTTGTTGAAAATATTGATGTGATTATTTAAAAGAAAAATGTCACCCAGCGTGGTGGTGCACTTCTTTAATCCCAGCACTTGGGAAGCAGAAGCTGGCCCATCTCTGTGAGTTCAAGTCTGGCCTGTCTACATAGTGAGTCTCAGACTCATCAATGCTACATAATGAGACCAAGTCTCAAAAAAGAAAAGAAAATTTCTTCCAGGTCCTTATTTTACTAGCTTTACTAGATGCTTTGTTGTTCCGTCTGTCTGTTTCCTGCAGAAAGAGCAAGAAATTGATGCCTGAACCTCCCACAGAACCATTGCAGCATTTGCACAACCAGCTAGCCATGAGCAGCTGTACACCATGTTAACTCGTCTGTAATTATGCGTATATGCAAAGTGAGCAGAAGCGCACATGCACTCAGTTGAAAGCATTTAACATCTCTACCTTGGCCACAACTTACTGAGGGAAAGAAATTGTTTGAATGATACTCTTAGCTTTTGTCTGTGTTCTAGAATATCATGGGAAAATCGGAGTCATCTGGGCCTGTTCTATGACTAGCATTCATGTAGAAATAAATAACATATGCTGTATGTTACATCCGGGGGCTTATGAAGGAACAGCTTCCTCTCCCTTCTTTCAGTTCTTTTAAGCTGATCTTTATTATCCCTGTTTCCATCTTTGAAGTAATTCCCGGGGTTTGGGAGTTCCTCTAGCCTTTGTCTTGTCTTGTCTCAACAGTGAGACAGCATCCTAACCGAGAGGAGCAGGCAGCCTGCTTGCTTGTCAGGGTGACTTTGCCGGTGATGTGCCTCTTTCTGCTGCCTTAGCTCTTCTGGCTGATGGACAGTGTGTGAGGCATTAGCTTGTTGAAGTAAATAGAGCAAGCAGTATTTGATCATTATGAAGATGCTACGCACTGGGAGCCAAAGACATGCAGTTTGAAGTCAGTGATGCACAAGCCCCAATTCAGCGTGCATGCACGTGTATGTAGTAGGCGTGAATGCCTTGGAAAGACCTGCTTATTTTCCCACTGCGCTGCACTTTGAAAGTGTTTTTATATTTAGAGATTTACGATGTTACCTACAACTGATTTCCTCTCATTTTCACCTTCATCTTCTTGCCAGATGCTTTATCTGTGGTTTTTGAGATCATGATGCAAGAAGCCTTTGAAGTGCCGTCCACCCAGTTTCTCTCCCTCTATGTGTTATACCGTTGCCTGGCAGAGAAGACAGACCTCACAGTAAGTGGTGTGCCCTGCCATGGAACTGAGCTAGAGGAAAGTCGAGCAGTGGCTGCCAGGGAAGGCAGAAGAGGGCAGAAGAAGCCTTGCCCTTAGAATCTGGAGAAAAATATCCATGTATAGTCAGAAATGAACATTCATTCAGTGTGTTCTGTTTTCTACAAAGTGGAACTGGATACTTCCCAAGTGAAAGCCCTTACACACATTTGCAGGGGTAGGGGAGGTTGCTTTTGTTTTGATATTGGGGGATTTGAATCCAGGGCCCCTTGCATACTAGGTGAGCATTTTACTACTGAGATACAACCCTAGCCCCTTGTGCACAGTTTGAAACTTGAGCCAAGTCAGGTGACCTCAGACATTCTGCCGTGAGTCATTGATAATCACTGACAGCCAGGCGTGGCAGGCTAAAGAAGCAGGTGGGCAGCCAACTTTAACCATGAACTGGTGTATTTAATACTGACCGTGTGTCGGGGTTTTCCTACAGTTGCTCCACGCCAGTTGTGTTCCAGAATGTGCAGCATGCCAAGCTTTGGCTTCAGTTCTTGAGTAGGATATTTGCTTACGGTTTACTGCTATCCCTACGTAACTATGGTGGTAAGAAAGCAGTGGCTGATACTGAGCAGCACGTGTGCCACGCTGCACTGCGTCCTTGGGTTGTAGCTGTATTAATGCCTTCAATCTTCACAGTAGCTCTACAGAGATAGGGAGACTGAGGCGTGGAGATACTACAGAATAACCATGGCACCAGTAGGTGATGCGAGGCATTGAGGTCTTGTGGTCTACCCTTAATTTCAGTACCAGATCAGAAAATCTCAGTTTTTATAGGAGTTGAAATGTCATCAGCCCAGGCCTCATTCTGCTTACCTGAAGTGTTCTGCTTTACTGACTGTCATGATCTGTGATATAGCTTATATTCACAATTAAGTTGTTAAGTATATGTTGAGCTTATTTTTTTAATCAATTGTCAAGTACTATGTATTTAGCAGTTAAACAGACATCTTCTGCTTATAGCCTAGCACAAAACAAAGGGCTAGGCAGATGGCTTAATGCTTAAGAGCACCTATTGCACTTGCGGAAGAACTGGGTTCAGATCCCAGCACCCACATGGTGCCTCACAACCATCTAAAACTTGAGTTACAGAGGATTCAATACCCTGTTTTAACCTCCACAGACCCCAGGCATGGTGCACATACACACATATAGGAAAAACAAGCATGCATCTGTAAAATTATAAACTACTAGATACTATACAAGAGAAGTCAATGAAAAGCTCTTATTGAAGAGTTTTCTTGTATTTCAAACTTGAATGTATTAGAAAGGGAAAATACATTTACAAGGTTAATATTTGAAAGTTGGATCATCATTAGCTAGTTAAAGAGGAAACTGGCAGGAAAGGTGCTAAAGGAAGCTGAGTGCAGTGGTGTATGTTTATCAGCCCTGCTTGTGGAAAGCTGAAACAGGAGGTTTGCTTGAGTTCCCAGTGTACCTGGGCAGCATAGTGAGATCCAGATGTGATAGGGGAATGGGTCACATGGGCATACCTGGTAGGGGAGATACCCTGATCATGATGGTGCTGGCCCTGCAACAAAGTGGGTGTCAGGGCCTGGGGTATGAGTGAGTTCAGACTGAAGAGCACAGACCATGCTAAGGCCATTTTGCTGTCATCCAAAAATAGTGAGGAATTCGCTTCAATGTTAAATGGGGTATTATAATCAGATTTGCGTTTCGAAGCCATCCCTGAGCTGTAAGGTGATGGATGAGTCAGAGCAGGGGAGGGCTAGCTGTGGGCAGACCAGTTTAGAGATTCTTATGGAGTCTGAGAGAGCGGATGATGGAGGAGCAGCCACAGTGAGGTGAACCTAGAGTGCCCGCTCAGTACCTGGAGAGGTGACTATCAGGTGAGGAGGAGCTAGATACAGAGACGCGGGTGGGAGCGGATGTCAGAGCCTCAGTTTCGAACTGTTTGTAAGGGAACTCTGGGGAAAAGAGGTTTGTGAGGAAAAGACTAATTTGCTTTGACCACACGGCAAGCTTGGGATACTTTGAAGCAGTCCAAAGATTTCTCAGTTGAACTACAGGACACTCTTGGAGCTTTGCATCCATATGTAAATGTGTGCACATGATCTAGAGAGACAGCGGATGGAAATCAGCGTCATACGCGTATCAGATGTCAGCATACACACGGCAGTCACAAGTTAAGGAAAATTTGAAGCGTGTTGGACCACACAAACCATGGAAAGAATGGCCTAGAAGAAAAGATAGTATAAGGTGGGAATAATGAGGGGTCATTTATTTAGTGACATCAGAGCAATAGGTGGTCCATTTTGTCTCCATAGAAAAACAGCAGGAGGGCAGATTGGAATGGATTAGTGGGGGAGTTAGAAGTCTGCAGACAAGACAGCAAGTAGGTGACTCCGTGTGTCTAGTTTGTGAGGAGAATGGAGGAGGAGGAGGAAAGAAGGAGAAGGTGAAGGCTTGCTTTGCGCCAGTAAGCAAGGCATGGCGATCCACACTGCCAGTAGAGTATGCTGTTAAGTGCTTAGGACCAAAACTGTTTTGGAATTCAGCTTTGTTTAAATTGTAGAATATTTGTATAGTGAGATACATTGGAGATAGAATCAAATCTTCACCCATGTTTTCTGTGTACTTTAGACACATACACTAAATGTAATGTTTATGCATTATGTTTAATTTGTACATGAAATGTTCCATGTAGTGTGTATTTTCTGCTTTCAGGATCATTTCAGAGTTAAAGAGTTTTAGAGCTCAGAACATTTTGGATTTTCAGATTAGGGATGCTCATCTCAGACGCTGTCAACTCTGACTGGTCCCAGCATGTCACTGATAGCTATTGCTTGTACAAAATTGCTATTCATTCAGTTTCTGTTCCCTGTTGGAATCCTGAGCCTGTAGCTCATCTTTTCTGCACAGGAAAAGAAAAGGTTTCAGATAGTGAGATGGTTCAGTGGGTAGTGTGCCCTGCATCAAACCTGATGCCCCGATCGGATCCCTAAGATCCATATGGTGCAAGGAGAGAGCTGACTCATGCACACTGTTGTCCCATTCCATCTGCCCCCCCACACATACAGACATGTGCTCACACATACACATGAACATACTAAAACAAGTAAGTATTTGAAGCCAGCCTGATCCGCATAGTAGCAAGTTCCAGGCTAGCTGGAACTACATAGTGAAACTTTTCTTAAAAACAAAATTAAATTGAAAAATAAGTGTAAGAAAATGTTTTCAGGCTTCTTATTTATTCTGAACTGGACCCACTTTTCAGGCTCTCAGTGGGAGAAGAAAACTTGCCTAGATTATATTGGTGGCTTTGGGAAGTGTAGTTTACTGGTATATTAATAGGTGTAAGACCCTGGGCTTACGTTCCAGCACATGCACAAAAGCCAGAGTGGTTTGCACTGGGAAAGTGAGCAGCTCTTCTTTATCTGCACTGTGGAAGCCCACGTGGAGTTTCTGTTCCCAACAACCACTGTTTTCCAAGGTGTAGGAAAATCTCGAGAGCTGGGGCTTGTGCTTCACGAAGCACGGGCAGGAGATCTTTACTACCGCAGAACCGTGCTCCATGGCAGCGGCTGCAGCTGCAGACCTCATCCCTTCTCTCCCTCTCGCCCAGCTCCTCTGCGAGTGTGCTGCGGGGTGGAGCTAGGTCTGGAGGGTCCCAGCTGCTGTGGTCTGGTTTGTTGCCACACCTCCTCCTCTGAGCTCTGCCTTCCCAGGAGCACCCCAGTCACATCTGTCACTGGTGTGTGGCAGGCTCAGTGAGGCTTGTGGCTTTGCCCTTTTTTTTTTCTTTTCATGTCTCAAAAGGCTTCTATTTTATTGAAGTACAATTTTACACCCTAGGTTGAAAGACATAGTTACTAAGTGTTTCTGATTGCCTAATTTGTTTTCAAGAGGCACAAATCTTTCTAAAAGCAACTTAATGGTGGTACTTATTCTAACACTGTGGAGAAGTCTTATCGCTGCTGTGTTGTTAGTGTGCGCCCTCCCTCTGGAGCAGTGTAGTATGAAGCCGGCAGCCTGTGGGGCCTCTTTGATGCTCTCAAGTCAGCGTGGGTCCAGAGTGTACTCTATTTTCTTTTCTTTTTTCTGACTGCAAAAGGCACTGGTTTATTACCAAAAATAGGGAAAATAATGAGGAGCACAAAGAATAAAACCAAAACGACTTCATGATTTCACCACCTAGGAATCTTTTCGCTATATATAGGGCATTTCTGTTCTGATTTTTTCTAATATGAATACCTTTTATTTTTAGTATTGGGATAACTTTTATACAACTGTGTTATTTTCATAAGCTTACTTAATACATGCTGTTTAGTGTCACCAAAAAAAAAAAAAATCACATGTGTGAAGTATCCATGGCTTTAAGAGACAATGGTCTTTTGTCTTTCATTGCAGTGGGAAGAGGAGAGGAACTTTGGTGCGTCCCTGTTGCTTCCAGGCCTAAAACAAAAGAACACAGTGGGCTTGAGTTCTCAACTGTATGGCTATGCACTTCTTGGTAAGCTAAGTGAGCCTTATTAGTATTGCTCTTTGTGGAAAGATGTGGCTCAACTTTCTGGCTCATAATTAAAGCTTTGTTTATATTTGATAATGAAGTTCCAGTTATAACCTACGTGTATAGACAACAAAATAAGTCTCAGTGTGGCCTTACAGTTATAAACAGTCGAGATATCATAAGACCTGTCACCAGTGACAGGGTCAGAACTCACTCTGTTAGCTGTAGTAGAATTCACTCCTGATCAGCATGAAGGAAGTTCTGGCCCTCTGTCTGGCAGAGGGCAGCCTCAGCACCTGGGGTGTGTGGAATCTGGGCAGGCCAGAGTTCAGAGGGGTTCATGGGTGTATGCTATTCCGTATCCCCATCCCCTCTTCTCTCAGAAGTCAAGCCTCCATGAAAGTGCTTTTTCTTTGCTCCTTGCTTCTGCCTGTCTCTCTGAGGAATAACTCTTGGCCGCCGAAGCTTTGCCAACAAAATATAGTGTGAATTCTAATATAAACGATTAAGAGACTGGTCTCCTCTCAGTTTGTCAGTTGCCAGCGGACTAACACAAGAGTGTTCACTCTTTTTGTTGTTTAGTTTGATTTGAGGGTTTTGTTGTTTCATTTGGAGAGTTTGGTTGTAGTTTTTGGTTGGTTGGTTGGTTGGTTGGTTGGTTGGTTGGTTGGTTGGTTG